TTGTAGATTTTTTTCCCTGTGAAAATTAACTATCCGAATATTAAGTAAGCCCTGCTACCCAATTTAACACAGAACATACTTATATTTAAGGAAAGAGAATTTGTATTGGTTACCTGCTGCCAACTTTTTCTGTTACCTACAAGTTAGGGTTTTCTCCTACTGAGCTGAATCCTTTTTGTAATTTCCTTTGTTCTTTACTGGGTGGGAAGACATCAGCTGTGACTTCTATTTAATACTAATCTTTCCTCTGGAAAAAGGGACAGATCTAAAGTGGCACGTTCTCTAGATCACTTCAAAAGTGATGTCAGTAGCATTTAGCAGAGGCTAGAACCTGCCAAATTCCTACACAGTGATAATCTTCATTTACTATAAAGTGGCAAAGTCATAAACAACTGTATTGAAGTGTGAATGTTTTCATTTTTGCGTGAGGGTTTCTTCCCCTTCCCCACCTTCTCTAACTTTTTTTCTGTAACTGGCTTAGGAAGTCTGTGCAAATTAAACAGAGTTTGGGGCTGAGATAGTTTTTACTGCAAGATGAGAACATTTACTTCACTACAGGCCCCCAGGCATGCGGAAGACTGTTCTCAGTAGGACAGTAACCCATACACTTCATTTTCATGAAAATTCAAATAAAAGATGATGGTATTTGGAAGACTAGTTTTGATGGAAAAAAATACACTTTGGCTGCAAAGGTTAGTTAGATGCTGAAACATGATACTTAAGAGGAGTATCTTCTTTATTTGTTGGACTTTAAAAATGTTCAATTTATTACCTCAGGGTTCAGTATCAAATTAAAAATAGATAAATGGAGACTTTAATAGTAGCCATCTGTCTGGAGAGTTTTTATTTGGTTTCTCTGGAGAGAAGAAAGATGGCTTAGATTATCTTTGAATGTCTCTTTTAGATATTTCATGAGGAGAATGCTGTGGTCAGGGGAGCAAGATAAAAGTCATGTGAGCAGGTAATCTAACAGCTTTAGTGAAGTGTTGAAGACAGGGATAGGGGAATGAGGAAATGACCAGGCACTTGAAAGTTGGGGAAAACAGGGAGCCTGCAAAGATTGCATAGGAACGTAAAAGTCATTTGGGTAAGGGTGTCTAGAATAAAGTAAATGGAAAGTGGGTCTGTTAATGAACAAAAAAAATGATTTCGACTATGAATATGTAAGCAACCATAGTAACATCACTGCCTGTGATAGTGTTGTTATGAGAATATAAGTAATAGTGAATCAATATATAAGTTTGGATCTATTGAAAGTATCATGTTTCATCAAAATTTTAATATAAAATTAAATTGTGCTTGTCCCTTAAGCTGGAATGTAGTGTGAGAAGATTATGGACAACCAGAGAGTGCATATATCTAACGGACTGGAAATGAGTCAGTAATACTGAATAATTGGACGTATTTGGAGCCAAAGGGCCTGGGAAAAACACTGAAATATATGAAGAACAGACAATGCCCCTGGTAAAATGTGCTTACTATAATAAGTTACAGAGCAATCTTTGTTATGTTTCACATCTTTGGGAAAGAATTCCAAATATCAACCACATCTAATATATATTGTTCTTAATACTAGGTGACAAATGTATGACTTAGAAGGGCCATTGACTGGTTTCTGTAAGTAGTCATATCCTCTCAAACTGAGATATGTCACAGACAGAGCCATTGGTGTTTCCCTAAATAAACTTAGCTGGATTTTGTGGATTTCAACAATAGTTGTGTTACTGGTGGGAGAGTCTGTTGTGTGAATGGAGGTCTTGGTCCTTGGATTCTCCACAAGAAGATTTACATGGGGATCCCTGCCCCTCAAAAAGACAGTCAGAAGGAAAGTAGCAAACACAAAGCAGTTTATTAAAGGGAAAGTACACTTCTAAATCAAAGTGGGTGAGCAGGCAGATTCCCCTGAGGTAGAATGGCCCCTAGGTTGTTTTGGGATTGGATATTATTGGGTCTCTGTGGGCTGGGAGGAGCTGTGAGGTACAGTGGCATGGTCTCTAATGGAGGCTGCTTCTTTTCGTTTGGGAGACGCCCCCTACAGGTTGGGAGGAGGAGTTTGAACCTACAAGATTTGTATATGAACCCACAAAGCAGCCTTTCTCCATGGGGGTGGGGAGGCTGTACCTGCAATGCAAAGGCATTATAATGAGTCTAGGGGTTACCCAGCGGTGGAGGTGAAGAGAAGAACTTATGCTCTGCACCTGTGGCTCTTGATTTGCCAGTCCCAAGGTTTTGGAAGCCACAAGGTGAGACTGTTGTGCCTCCGGGCATTTAACATGTTGCTTATTTTTCACCATCCTTGCCTCCAGCTCAGGTCTGTACCATTCCCCTTGTTGGATTTGGGACTCTGCCTCTGGGTGTTCCTTCCACTGCTCCTGTCCAGCTTCTACCTAACAGATGTAGGTTTTTAATTTTGGTCTTGAGAAAAATATTTTTTTCAAGCATCTAATGGCATTGCCACTTGTTCTGCTTAATTTAGCTGTTTGTCAATATAGTTTTGTTACTGTAGCTAGGGAGGAACCTGGCAAGGAGAATTTATACCCAAGTATTTAAAATTATTTGCCCTGTTTAAAGAAAGGTGGGTTGATGTCCTCTTTGAGGAGAGTTGTAGAAGGTCCTTTCTATCTATCCTAGCAGTGTTTCTGGACATTTCTGATGTTACCTGTTGGGCAGTGAGGGTTCCGGGTTGAGGGTAGGAACGTAGTACAATTTTTAAGTGCCTGCCAAAAGAGATCTTCTCAGCATGAGTTTATTTAGTGGGAAGTTACAGATTCCCATAGCTTCACACCTAAACATGAGATATAAATAGTAGGTGTTTATACTCCTAACTTCTTCTTTTAGCCAATTATAATATTGAAAATTAAATTCCTCCTTCTCAGTGAGGTCTGGCATTTCATTAGCAAGATTTTTAAATGATTATTGAGAATCCTTGGGCATTTAAGAAAACAGGAATTGTTTGAGAAGCATGGCAGTGAATGTATATGATAGTAGAAACAGGTAAACTGTATTTTTTCTGAACAATATTTGCTGAAATCTTGAAATATTGGTTTTTTCAGTGCATGTAGCAGATATTTATATATGATAGTTTTTGTGGGTAACTTGACCTCTATAGATGGCTTCCTGGTCGCATGTTAGTACATGATTGGGCCAGTGCAGTCTGTCTGATCTCAGTACCCATTATTTTCTCAGTTGCTCCTTCTGTTCTAGTCCCATGGCCTTTTTGCTGTTCTTTGAACAAACCTAATTTGTCTTTAACCCAGGGCCTTTCTATTTGCCTTTTATTTGCTGTTCCTTCTGTCTGGGAGCACTCTTTGGTTCTTTACTGGCTCATGCCTTCCTTCTTCTTCCTCTT